TATCAAAGGTGATAACACTAAACATATTTCTCCCAAATTTTTCTATAATCAACAACAACAAACTCTCCTCAAGATCCAAGTAAATCAAATAAGATCTGAGGAGAATGTGGCAGATTTATTCACCAAATCATTACCTAAAGCCACATTTGAGAAACATGTTAAAAATATTGGGATGCGTAGACTTTCGGATCTTCCTTGATCATGTACACTTCAGGGGGAGATTTGAATATTCAAGGTCTAGCTTTTATTTTATGTTACACTCTTTTCCTTAAACCAAGGTTTATTTTTCCCATTGGGTTTTGTTACTTGGTAAGGTTTTTAATGAGGTAACAATATGCATGAACATAGCGATCGAAGTAAGGATCGGTATTCTTTCCTTTGTTCAAGATTTTTATTCACAGGATTTTGACACTTGACGAGATTTTGACAAGAGATCAAGATTCTGCAATTCTACCTACAGCTCAGCACAAGGGGGAGTGTTGAAGGAATTTGTAAATTAGTGTGCTGTTGTGTAGATAGAATTTACTTTATATTGTGTAATAAGTTGTACTGGCCCGTGGGCCTTCTCTTGTAAAACCCTACGAAGCTCTTCCCTATATAAGGGAGCTATTATCAATAGAGAAAGGACATCTCCCACAACATTTTTCATTTTTCTATTTCTTCGTTCAAATTTCTTTAATTCAATTATCCAAACCCACTTTAAATACAAGTTATTAGGTATAACCGAATGTACTTATCTTTAGGTACATTTTGTACCAAAGAAGTTGTCGATTGATCGCAATGAAGCTTGCGAAACCCTAGCGCCGATAAAAAGAAGGAAGGCGTGGCGACATGACCCAAGGCGACGACAATTCCTTTGCAACCGTGATTCCCTAAGCAACTTCCGATTAGTTTTTAGAACCGAATCGATCAAGGTACTGATTTAGTGGTTCACGTATAATTGAATGTGTTTATACACACACACACATATATTAGGTTCACGTGAGGGCCGATTTAGAAATTACTTTGCATGCCTTAAAGTAACATTCAAGGTTATTCAAATAGTTCAATAGGTTTAGAAGTAACATCCTAACGTATTTAAATAATTTGTGCAGTTCTGCTTTTTTAGTATGTTCGTCTCGTCATCGTCTTTTTGAAAGATCGGTGTCTTTAAGTTGTACAATGGATTGTCATCATCAATATATGTCAAAATCGCTTTCTTAAACTATCTTTATGGTAGTCATCCTTCATAATTGGTAGATTGCTGTTTGATTACACGCGCTCATGGTAGTAACCAATTCAATTGTGAAGTTATAAGTGATTTCCTTCGAGGCAAGAAGGGAAGCTCTTCGACATGTGATTCAATTAAAATTTAAGATTTAAGATTTAAAATATAAAATTAGAATAAAAGATTTAATATTTAAAATTTAATACATCAAATTTAATACTTAAAATTTAATGTTTAAAATTTGATATTAAAAATTTAAAATTAATATATGAAATTTTAAATTTGAAATTTGAAATCTTAAATTAGAATTTTAAATATTTTAGTTTAAAATTTAAGATTTAACATTTAAGATTTCATAATTAGAATTAAAAATTTAAAACAAATAATTTAAAAATATAAATTATATGAATGTTTTTATATTTTTTAAATATCAAAACAACTATTTGAAAATAGATCATTTATCTAATTGTTCTAGCATTCAGCCAACATAGCTATGGTTTGAATGAAGCTTGAAATTCCCTAGGTTTTATTTTAGTTTGTATTACTTTATTGTGAGAAATTCTCAAAATATAGCTCCATTCCAAATTTATATACTCCGTCATACCAATTTTAATTGTCCGTTCCAATTAATGATCTTTGACTAATGTTTTTTCCAATGTAAATTACAAGAGAAATAATCAAATAAAATAGATTTATAAAAAAAACTTTTCATATTAAAAACTACATCAAAATCTATACCTAACAAAAAGGAACGTAAATATATTATTTTATCAAATGAAAAACAAAAAAATAAGGAAAGAAATTTAAAAGAAAAAATTAAATTAAAAACTCAAAATTTAAAATTTAAGAGTAAAAACTCGTAACTTGAAATTTAAAATTTAAAATTAAAAACTTAAAATTTTAAAATAAGAAATTAAAATTTTAAAAACTAAACTTTAAAATTTAAAAATCAATATTTAAAATATGAAATATAAAATCTAAAATTCAAAATAAATAATTACAAACTTAAAATTAAAACTTTAAAATTAAAATTTAAAATTTAAAATTAAAACATAAAATTAAAAATTAAAAATTTAATCTTTAAAATTTAAATTTCAAATTTGAAATTTCAAATTTAAAATTTAAAATTTAAAATTTCAAATTTAAAAGTAAGAATTTAAAAAAAAAATTAAAATTTTAAATTTTAAATCAAAAATCTAAAATTTAATATTTTAAATAAATGAAATTTAAAATATTAATCTTAACAATCAAAAACTAAAATTTAGAAAAGAATATCTAAAATTTTAAATTTACAATCTAAAATCAAAACAAATTAAAATATTAAACTCTTAATTTAGTTTTCAAAATTTAAAATTAAAATCTAATATAAAAATTTAAAATTAAAAATTCATAACTTTAACATTAAAATAGTTATAATTTAAAATTTAAACTTTAAAAGATAAAATTAAATTTTAAATTTAAAGTTTTTTGTTTAAAATTTAAAATTTACAAATTAAAATTTAAATGAAAATTTAAAATTTAAAATTAAAAGTTTAAAATTTCAAATGGATAGTTTAAAATTTAAAATGTAAATGAAAAAGTTAAAATTTAAATTATAAAACTAAGATTTTTTTTAAAAATCTAAAATTGAATTTTATAAAATAAGATCCAAAAATTAAATAACCAAAATTTAAAAAAATAATACTTCAAAATTTAAAATTTAAAATTTAAAATTTCAAGTTTAATATAAACAATTAAAATTTAAAATATAAAACTAAAAATATTTATTTTAAAAATCTTAAATTAAATTTTAAAATTTGGAAACTTAGATATACAATTCAATATTTAGAATATAAAAAACTTAAAAAACTAAAATTATACAAAGTTGAAATTTAAAATTTAAGTTTCGAAATTTTAAATTTTAAATTTAGAATTTAGAATTTTAAATTTAAAATTTAAAGTTTAAACTTTAAAATTTAAAATTTAAACTCTGAAATATAAAATTTAAAATTTAAAATTTAAATTTTAAATTTTAAAATTTAAAATTTCAAAGTTAAAAATTAATAATAAAATTTAAAATTTTAAAATTTTATATTAAAATTTTTTTATTTTAAATTTAATTTTAAAATTTTTCATTTAGATTTTAAAATTTTAAATTTTAAAATTTAAAATTTAAAATATAAATTTTTATACTAAAAACTTAAAACTTAAAATTATATATTCAAAATTTAAAATTTAAAAGTATTACAATTATTAAAATTATTAAGTTTAAAAAATTTAAATTTAAAATTTAAATTTAAAGTTTATTTATAATGTAGAATTGAAATTTTAAATTCTACATTTAAAATTTAAATTTTCAGTTTTAGTTTTAAATATTAGTTTTAAAAATGTTAATATTATTCAAATTATTAATTTTAAAAAATTTAAATTTAAAATTTAAATTTAAAGTTTATTTATAATTGAAAATTGAAATTTTAAATTCTACATTTAAAATTTAAAATTTCAGTTTTAATTTTAAATATTAGTTTTAATGTTTTAATCTAATTTTTTTCTTTTGATATTTTTTTGTTTTTAATATTTGATTTGTAATTTTAAAATTATAAGTTATTAATTTTTAGTTTTATTTTATAAAATAAAAAATTTATATATTACTGTTCAAATTTCATTCTTCTAGTTTTAAATTCTAAAACTTTTAAATTTTACAATTTTTTCAATCTCAAAATCTTTGTTTTTTTATTTTTAAATTTTAGTGTTTTATGTCAGTTAATTTTTTTTAATTTTTAAAACGGAATTTTCAGTTTTTAGACCTTATATTTTAATTTTTTAAATTGTACTCCCTTTGTCCCATGTTAAATTGCATGTTTTTCTTTTTTCTTCATCCCAAAATAAGTTGTCTGTTACTTGTTATTGTAAACTTTTAAGAGTAAAATACCTAAACTACTTCTAAAATAAGTTACTCTTATCCATGTTATCTTTTCATTCATCGTCACCCTTCTAAAAAGTAATGGCAATTTCGAAAAATCGACTCTATTTTTTCTCTTCTTTAAACATGTCTAAAAGTCAAAACATGCAATTTAAAATAGGACGGAGGGAGTAATTTTTATTATATTTGAAATTTTAAATTTTTAATCTTTTGGTTTCTAAATTTTTATTTTTACTTTTAATTTTTAATTTTAATGTTTATTTTTTAAATCTGTAAGACCAAAAGTCTAACAGACATGTTTTATTGTTATGACCCAAATTGGATTAACTTGATTTCAATTTGATTGCAGAATTCGAATTGTTGAATTCAATTTCTTTTCCTTCGTTATAGAATTTAAAATCTGGAATTGATAAGTTTCTAATGTTAGTTTTTAAACATTAATTAAAAAATGATTTTTTAAGAACATACTTTTCTTCCTACCAAACAATAAGAAAATATGATTGGAAAATAATTTTCTCTTGAAATCATTTTCCTTTAAAAATATTCTTTAAGTAAAATATTTTACCCCCACAATTAAAATTTAAAATATAAAATTTGAAGCTGAAAAGTCAAAAAAGGGGTATGGGGTGCACGGAGGTCGGGGGGTGGGAGGTGTGTTGGGGATGGAGCAAAAAGAGAATGAAAATTTTCCTTAACAGAAATTGTTTTCCCCCATTGAGAGGAAAATATTTTTTCTGGAAATTATTTTTCTTCCACTAATGTTACCAAGCACAGAAAATGGATTCAAATTTTCTTGGAAAACAATTTTCAACCAACCAAACACACTAAAAGTAAATAAAGTTCAAAACTTTGTGAATAGTTAACATGTAACTTAATTTGGGACGGAGGGAGTATAATTTTGTGATACCAAACAAAAGATTTGGAATTACAATACAAATTGAATTGAATGCATTAGAATTGAATTGAATTAGAATTCAATTACATTCAATCCAATTTCATAGAATTGTAATTCCAATGCCGTGTGTCAAATGGAGCCTAGGACAACAATCTAATCTTTGATACCACAAGCGGTTCCTAGCCTAAACCACGAAGCACTTGGCGAGACATCTGGGTCATGGCTCTGGGTTTGCTCTGATACCACTTGTCACAGACGCAACCATTACCCTTTTCTCAAAAGACATGATGTTTGATGACTTTGATCAAATGTGCAAGTAATTTCATAGAGAAGATTAAAGGAATATGAGAGAAACAATAAGAGCATTTACAGTCACAAGTAAATTTTCTTATACTCTATACCAAACAATGCCTGTTGAAAAGAAAATGGTGAAAAAGCATTTACTAAAGTAGCAGCAGTTTCCTTTAAACTTGTATATATTCTTTTTCCCTGCAGAATTGGTTCATTTTCAGAAACCATATAAGAGGCTCACAAGCCAACATGGGTTCATGAAATGACAGCATCCTATATCAAGTTCCTACATTACACAATTTTCAGCTTTCAACTATTTAAAGATCAAACACAAAAACAAGGCCCTACCTCTACCACCATTTTACCATTCCTCCAAAACTCTAAACAAGAAGAAGCTACGTACTATCGTTTTGTTTCGCCAAAAATGGGGAGCCGGCCTACCTGTAACATGCTGCTCTCTGGTATAAAAGGAAAACACAATCGCATAACTTGAAGAAAGCTTCAGCTTAATGTGCATGTGTGTGTGCGTGCATATACATATATATGTATATATATAAATACATATACATATACATACATGTATGCATATGTATGTATATATAGAATACACTATTCAAAGTGGGTGCACACCTTACTCTCTGTGCATAGAGGTTGCCTGGATCCTGAAACATAAATGGCTTCATGACCAAAAGGGTCGCCTACTGATCCAAATTCTTTTTCATCATCATCACTGTCGATATCTTTTGGAGTTACCCGGTTCTGATAAGTTCGGTGCTTGATAAGAAAAACATTGAAGTAGTAACTAACCAGCATGTTCTTTGTCTTTGATGGAAAAGACTTGGCAGCGATATTCCAGAACTTGTTTGGAGTTGCGGCATTCAATCTCATCAAGTTTTTGAATCTCTCTTCCTCTTCTGCAGTCCACGAAAGGGAAACTTCCTCCCCCATGCAGTTAAATCTCCATTGGTAGAACAAGTGGCCAAGCTCAAGCTTCAGTTTGTGCCGTTTCTCTGCACAGTGAAACCTTACGCATTGAACCGACAAGGGGAATATGCAATAACATGGACCGTGTCTTCCCTTTCCGATACGATTGGATTCAATCATGGACTTTGTTTTTTCTGGAGGCCACATTCGTGTTCCTAGCCACTTGGAATCACTCTCTGAAGTCACACCAGTCCATTCTGGGACTTCAGCCTGGTAGAGAGGGCCAATGAAAACTTCCAGAAGGCTCGTTGGTTCTTCCCGAGAAATACTGTTGTTTAGTTCTGTTGGTGATGACTCGCTTTTCGAAGGAATTCGTTCATTGGGGCATGCTTCAGTTTTTTGAGGACTAACAACCTTGTTATCAGTAGCGGAGCATGAATAGGAAGATGAACATGAATCAGGTTTCGTCAAAGAAAAAATTCTTTTCCTGCATCCCATTTTCTCTGTAAGTAGATGGTTGGGAATGTCGTCATCATACATTGAAGGATGCATTTTAAGCTTCTTCTGTGGATCATATGGCAAGCATCCAAAAAAAAAAAACAAAAAAAATCAATTATTTACGTAAGCTAAGAGACACTGAATGTATTTTTTCTGAAATTACAATGAAAAAATACACAGGCATTTATATAACTTGTTTATATCTGTTTTAACTTAACTACTTTACAGCAGATTCAATGGTTTTATCTAACACTCTCCCTCAAGCCGAGGGATATATGCATTTATTTTATGTATTTTATTTTTACAAAATGACAATCGACCTCAATGATTGCAGATGCAAAGTTCTGTTTCTAACTTTTACATTAACCCCATATTTCCAACAAAGACACAATAGCCAATGGTGGGACGTTGATCACCCTTACAGTTTGCCCTATCAGCATTATTTTCATATGAGCATGTTTTTTTTATAAATAATATCACATCCTGGTGATCACTTCAAAAACAAAAAACAACAACAAACCCAATTATCTCACAAGAGTAGGGTCTAGGGAGAGAGTGTGTGCACACATGCACAATCTACAAACTAACACACAAAAAACAGCAAAAACTACTCCATAGGAAATAAGACCCAAAGGTCTACCTAATTACTCTAACCCTAGCTCTTTTAGCGTTCCTATCTAAGCTCATATCCCCAGTAGGATTTCTGAAGTAGTAAGTCATGTCTAATCCCCTCCTTTTAACTCTTCCTAGATATACCTCTAGTCCTCTACCCCTACTCGCACCCATTACCGCAAGCCCGTCGGCGCTTCTCCTTTTTATGTTCCCAAACCACCTCAATCAAGCTTCTCGCAGGTTATCCTTCATAGGCATCACTCTCACTCTTCCTCGAAGGACCTCATCCTGGATCTTATCCATCCTCGTATGACCATACATCCACCTCAGTATTCCCATACCTTCTAGTGATCACTTCAAATAGAAAAAAATGCTCCCTCCGTCCCACAATAACATTCCACAATTGACTGAGCACGGAGATTAAGAAAAATGAAATTGTGTGGTTGAAAGTGGTGCAGACGGTAGAGGAGAGAGGAATAATTATAATAACCACAAAACTATGCCAAAAGTAGAAAGTGGAACCTTTTTTTGGGACGAACGAAAAAGGAAATGCAGGTCAGAGTACGTTCTAGAGCATACCAATGATCAACTCTTAGGGAAGCAGGAAGCCATACTGACTTACCATAGTTACTGCATAGGAATTATTTGGACGGGTCAGAGTGAGACAGTTCAACTTCACAACTACTCTCCTATACTCCCTCCATTTTTTAAATTTACCAACGACTTTTGTGATACATTAATAATAGAATGAATATGGACACATATCATGTCTAAATCCATTCAGTTTTTAATGCATCAAGAAAGTCATAGTGGTCGGTTAAAAGAGAACAGATAAAGTATCTCTTGAGTTCGTCAAATGAGACTTCATTTTGAAACAGTTTTTTGTAATTTTTCCTCTTCTTTGAATACACTCCAGGGGAAATGGGGGTCATCATTCTATAGTTACGGCAAACGTCACCTTTTTAGATTTACCCTTGTCTGCTCCATATCTTCCATCCACAGATACTCAATGTTCCTCTAGTACAAACCCAGACAGTAATGGTGTAAATCTACCTATTGCTCTAGAAAATGTACATGATCTACCCTAGCAAAGGTACATCGTTGGATATTTGGGAAAGAGTGAACAATATAAAACTATGATTATAATGCTATATATTCGCCACTAAAACTTGTGCACTGAAGAACACAAAGCTATTGACATTCAGCCAACACAGCAATTAGTATACGTTGCAGTCAATTATTGCAGACATACTAAAATAGTACAGCATTACAAGTACTGGGACATATTTATCAACCTCACAAACTGAAGAAAATACCTTACACAAATATAGGGGAAGAAAGGTATCCATGGCTAACCTGAGGAGAAGATTCTTCGGAACTTAAAATAAAATGTTTTTTGTTCAGCATAGCTTCTCGAATCAATAAAAACTGGACCCATAATTCATTGAGGCTATGATCCCTCCACCGAGAGCACTCGGGGATTTTACCAATTTCAGGGCTATCAGAATGTTTTGCTGCATTGGTCACCCAATCAATGATTTCTAAGAAACGTGAAGGTACCGATTTTCTCTTAAGTGTATGCACTCCATTCACAACATCCTCTGTTGTTACTTTTTCATTGATAGCTTTTCTAGGGAAGTCATGCATTCTATTGAGGACTCTATCAATAAGCTTTTTGGCAGAGGTAACAACAGTGTTGTCGTCTTTAGCACAACATTTTTTGTAATCTACAAATCTTCCCTGTGGATAATCCGGAACTGAGCAGAGGACTTTCTGAACAGTTTCTTCATCAACGACATTTTCTTTATTACCGTCCATGCAACAGTTATTGCTTTCGACCTTGGGAACTACTTGTTTAGTATTGTTAATATGGAATCTTTTTGTATCATGACTTTTTACAACCAACTTCTCAGCTGATTCAACATGATCATATACACTGCCGATGACAACATCAATAAGATCTTCCTCTCCATCATTGTTCATGCCCAAATTATTTTGATTAACACTGCCAGAATTCTGTTTAGCGTCATTAATGCGAATGTTTCCAAACCTCTCCTTCAACTCACTTGACAACGTTTCGAGTCTCCTAACCAATCCACTTTCTACTCTCTCCAAACTATAATCTCTACATCTCTTCCACATCCATTGATCGAATTCATTCAAATACTTGATGTAAATCAACTTCAAAAATGGTATTTCCCTAAAATCAAACCCGCATTGCTCCGCAACAAAACCCCACAAATTTTCCCTATTAACAGCATCATACCCACCGGTCCTTCTAACTATCCAGTAAAGTTTAAATAAATCCATCTCACGCCCACCGCCATTCATTACCGGGAGAGGCCTAAGACAAATATTCTTAGATACATTACTAAGAAACACTACAAGTATTTGATCAAACAAAACCCTAAGCTTCTTCTTATAGCCATCAAAAACCCAATCTTTGACTCCCAGCCTCAAAGAAGGTTCATCTCCCCAATTTGAAGCATGGGCTATTTCAACTTCATGGAGTGTGGATTCATCTTCTAAATTCGACCATTTTTCCATGAACCCAGAAAATATTCAACAAAGAAACTTTCCACTGGTGGGTTTGGATTGTGTGATGTGCCTCATTTGCGTCAGGGGAGCAAACGGATGAGAGCAAATCTGCCTCAGACAGATAAACGAACAAATAAACGAACATCTATGGTTCTTACCGGCGCAGAGAATTTTCTATGATTTTTGTTCCCCTCTAATATAATCATCATCATGTAATCACCTCTTCTTCTTCTTCAAACAGACAAATAAACGAACATCTATGGTTCATAGCTTCTGTGACATCACACCAGGCTGATAACAAAGAAAAAGAATCAGAAAACACCATAAAATTCCTAACAAATCACTCAAAATGGTAACTTTATCGGTGGCGGAGGGATTATAAAAATACAGTCTTTTTTCCAAAATATTCTCTTGTTTTTAGAATCATTTTATTTACAAATTGATACATCAATAAGAAACAAAAATTATATAATAAAAAAATTACGTCAAGAGTTTTACAAAATAAGAGGTGACAACAATATTTTATTTCATCAAATACTCAATGAAAACACGCAAATAAAAAAAATTATCGAGAGGAAAGAAAAAAGATTGTAATTTATTTCGAGACAGAATAAATAAAATATGAATGATATGTATTTTTCACTAAAATAGAATTTTGTATTGGAACTATGTGAAATTCGTGAAATTGCATCCATTAACATTGTAAGTCGTGTCTTAAAGATAAAATCATAAAAGTGTTATTTTAATCTTTTTTTAAGTTTTATTCATATTTTGATTTTTCCCAATTCCTACATAATTCCTCTTGAAAAAAAAAGCGGAGAAATTATTACTTTTTCAATAAAAGCTTTTCCAAAAAAAAATGTGATGCTGTAATTTAGAATAATGTTTTAGAGTGATTTTGTGTTTTTTGACATCAAATTATTGGACTTGACGAAGTAATAAGTACTCGCTCCCATTTTTTTCATCCCTCATTCTCTCTATTTTCATTTGGACTAAATTATGTTTTACTACTTCCTCCGTCTGAGAGTATTTGTCAACTTTTATTTTTACACACCATCCAATGCACTTCTTTAATCTATTTTATTTTGTAATTTGTATATTAAAAATTTATAGAAATTATATATTAATAATCTATATGTTAAGATAAATCAAACAAGATCACACATGACTATATTTAGGCTTACACATTGAGAGAAATCGATGACTCAAAGTACTTAAATGAACAGTTCCAAAAGTCAAAAGTGGATAAAAACTGGGGGACGGAGGGAGTATATTCTACCATTATTTGCCCTAAAATTATTGTTTTAGTTTAATTTTATAGATCCGATAATAAATTAAATATAGTGGTAACTAAATAAGTTAAAAAATTTGATAAATAAAAAATTATCTTAAAATTAATTCAAATGTATTAAATTTACATTATGACGAAAGATATGTTTTCATTTCCTAAAAAAAAGAAGATATTTTTTCATAATTTATGATTAAAGTGACCATAAAAAATCAATTAATCAAGCTACAACAATAGTTTTAGGATAATGAGTTGTACAACTCTCCTATAGCAAGTGTGAGTGTATAACATATACGGAGTACAACATTCTCAAGTGTAAAATGTGTATTTGAAAGAATATTAATGCAACCGAATTTTTGGTGTAAAATGTTAGTCTTGGCTTGCCAAGCCTCGTGTTTTGGTGTTAACAAACAATATAAGAGTTTAATGTTTATTTAAGTGTTTCAGGTACAACAAGAATTCATTAAGATTCGGTTCTCAAGAATGAAGTTGAAACACTAAACTAGCGTAGAATATAGGTAGAAATTGATGTAAGGATATGATTTTATATACCTATATTCACAAGCTCAAAAACACTCACAAAATATGTTTAAAACCCTTTTATAATCATTTTCAAACATCCAAAAGGTTTTAAATAGAATTAGAAACGATTTGGACAAAAATGGAAAAATTGTCAAAATGGTCACTAGGTACCTAGGTACCGTAAGCACGGGACCCCCCTACCGTCTGGACAGGACCCCCCTACCGTAAGGGTACCGTAAGAGGATAGGTACCGCCAGAGAGTTTTGGCCTTAGAAGGTACCTAGCTAGCGTAAGCACATGACCTCCCTACCGTCTGGACAGGACCCCCCTACCGTAAAGGGTACCGTTACCGTTGAAACACTATTCCTGATTGTTGATTTTTGAATTAATTCAACCCTAATCACCTCCTAACGACTAATTAACATCTTCCACTATAAATATAGGCCTAATACTTCATATTTCAACAAGAAACAAAGCTCCAAACATCCTCCCTTTATATTTTAAGTGTGTTCATTCTTTTATTCATTATTTTCAATATTTTGGCTATTTCAAGAGCCTTAAACTCCTAACTTTTATACACACACTTTGAGCTTGTGTTTTTAGTTATATACTCTCATATTCATAAGTTTGAATTGTATTTTTGAGAGAGTATAACTTCCTTCTACACCGGCTAAGTTTTGTTCTTTATTTTTATATTCTAGCCATTGTGTAGAATCCTTGTTTGTGTTCTTGAAACACACCTTCTTACGGTCGAGAATAGGCGTTAAATTCTCACATTGTAACGGTTAAGGATAGCCGTATAAATCCTTGGGTAAAGGTTCAAGGATAGCCTTTAAAATCCTTGGGGGAACGGTAGAATATAGCCGTTAAATCTTCGTTGTAAACGGTTCGAGATAGCCGTGGTGAAATCTTGGAGTGAATCCTATTGGCAGGGGTTGTTTGCCAAACTAGTGCGGTGCTTTGACGGAGTTCAAGAGACCAGAACTTAGTGGATTCGAAAATCCTTGAAAAGGAGCCTTGAGGTACTGGAGTAGGGAGTTCCCGAACCAGTATAAAATCGGTGTCTTTTACTTAACGCTTTTATTTCTGCATTTTATTTATTGCTTCCGCATTTGACAACACCATTTTTATCAAACTCCGAAAAATTTTCAAATGCCTTATTCACCCCTCTAAGGCGTGAGCACAGTGACTAAAACCGACTAACATAAAATAGAAAATTTGTTAGAGTAATGACTGTAAATTTTTCTTACCTTGCTCTTCTTTCTAAGTTTTTCTTAGGAAGAAAAACTAAAATAAGAATAAGCACAGAAAAAGAATCAAAATGGGACATTCAAGTTTTTATCCCCGAAATAAGACTCATAGTGCAACATATAATACTAAAAAATATTGTAGAATGTCAAAATATACGTAGTACTATATTAGCACAACGCAATAATCCTATTTTAGAATAAAAATATGTTACTTTTATTTTAGAAGTTAAAAGCTACGGAGTATGTTTTTGCTGTTATTTTAAGTGATTTTTTTCTTACAAAGTTACCATGAGTTTTTTTTTTCAAAAAATCATCATATAAACTTCCTAAAATATTGATTTAAAAAGGTTGGCACAAAATATTGATTTTACCATGTACTCGGGGTAGTACTTTTTTCTTAGCAATTTTTACAAAAGGGTTATATTTTCCATCATCTCCGATGGAGCCAAAATTTCACCATTTTTTGGCTTTGGGGTGTGATGGAATAAATCAAAATGGATCTCTAAACTGTCTGCCCTTCTTTAATTAATGAAGTAGCAGTTAGTCAAGCAATGCAACTTTCGACGTTGAGCCGGGGGTCTCTTTAGAAACACCCTCTCTACTTTCGAGTAGGTGTAAGGTCTGCGTACACACACCTTCCCCAGACCCTACTCTTGTGGGATTTAACTGGGTTGTTGTTGTTGTTGTTGGTTATATTTATATCTACCCACATAGTTGACACAAATATCTACTCCGGGGTATCACTTTATGGATAAGTGTCTAACTCAAATTTTCAAATAACCAGAGGTAATGAACATAACCGTAATGTGTCACATGCACCATTTTAAGTTTTAACACTATTCAAGTAGTGACAAATTACGAATGTTGCTAATTAGAGAAAATACTTTTTTGACATAGTACTCAAATTCAACTACTAAAAGCTGAATAAACTTACAGAAGCTCAATTCGCCATTGCCGAACCAAACGCGCCCCCGTAAGACTGGCGCGTCCAAGAGCCATCTTAACATTAGGAAGAGAAACACAATTGAAAACACAATAAGCCAACATAGAATCCAGGAAGTGGAAGAAAACCAGAGGGGAATCAATGGCCTCTCCTGTGGTCTTTTCTTCCAGGGGAAGTAGACGGGTCCCGCTGCCTTCTACGGGAACCAGAGTCATCATCACCCCTCCGATTATATGGTGATCGTGGCCTTCCACGACGATCCCCATGATATGAATCACTGTCATTCCGTCTGCGGGGTGAGTAACTACGAGATCGTCTTCCATCAGAGCCTGTGTGGTTAACATTGCAATATCAGTGCTATAAGTGGAATGGTGTACATAAACCAACAAAATGCAGGGAAAATGGTGGGAAAATAGAAGCAAAGATCATAGCACAATGGGCTCCCTTTCATGAATTAGAGTGCCAACAACTAGGAAGGAATTACTCCATGTGTGGGAACTGATATGAAATTGAGTGAATTTGCAAGAAATTGCACCAAACTTGCCAAAAAAGCAAGAGTGCTGATGGCCTTATGCATACCACTTGAGCATTTTCACCCAAACTAAAATCTTTAGTAATGATACACATTTATTACTAATATTTTTTTTCAAATTTGGCCTAAAGATGTCCCATTTTCTATATTGCTAGCTGAAGACCTTTTAACTATTCTCACTTTCTCAGACAAAACTAAAGTGCATAACCAAACCAATTCCAGTGTATCAACCAAAGAGTGGGGTTTGGGGGCAAGTTGGATCTTACATCACCTACCATATTAAAGTTCATTTCAACTAATTTTTTACACAATTATTACAGAGGCACGCCCATGTGAGTGGGATTAAAATTTGTTACTCATAATTGATTTTTTAAGTGTTGATGTCTAATATACAGTAGACACATATATAATACTACGCGGTATTATTTCTATATTCATCCTCAAAACATTCATACCTCGTTTATTTCTCACACCTTGGTATCTTCCAGGAGTTGGTGTCCGCCGCCGTTTTCTCTTAGCCTGTTTACAAAATCAAATTGCATGATAGTTGGTAGTTTACACATTAAAACTCAAGTCATAGTTATTACACATAAATTGTAGGTATGCAATATGTAAAACCATAGTTCGTTTTGGTTAGGCATGCAACCTTTTTTTGAACTACATGCAAAGCAGCAAAGTCATTGCTTATTTTCACTATGCAAATATATAGTGATCAACAACAACCTAGTAGGATCCCACATAAGTAGAGTCTGGGGAGGGTGTGTGTACACAGACCTTACCCCTACGCGAAAGTAGAGAGGTATATAGTGATCCTGCATGTAAAATATTTTACATGGTACAATGCAAAAATGATCTTAAAAATCACACCCTTTACACTAAAAAGGGAAACCAATCACCTTAAAATGTGTGCAACACGACACTTTGCATGCAAAATGTCTATTTCAAATCATACCAAACCAAACACCCCCTCAAGATAAAGAAAAAAAACTAACCAGTCACTCCACTACAAAATGTAGTTTCAAGGAGATAATGAAACAGATGCAAAAAGGGGAAAAGAATATCTTGCACATATATAGAACTGCTCTACATACAGCTAAATAAGTAACCTCATAGCTATTTACAATTCCCACCATAAAGATACAAACACAAACAAAAATAATGGAATGAAATGTACTCAAATGTTCATAATAGATCTGTGTCATTATAATCATTTCAGGTTAGGGATAAGAATCAAACCTTCAAAAGGTCACAGTCAAAACAAAACCAAAAAAACAGAACTGGGAAGCAGCGTGACTCGTTTAGTATGTCGGTGAGACAGTGACTGTTTCTGATGAAGATATTAAAGGCATGCGACCCTCTTGGAAATAGCGAATTCATTTGATCAGTTTGAAATGTCGATGCAGTGTGCAAGTTGCGAAAGAATATGTTCGACGATTTAGACATAATAGCTTAGAATTTGTATTCGATGAAGTTACACAAACCAGACCTGCTGCCAAAATATATCAGGCAACAATTCTGAAGATAAGTACGAATGTAGAACTAACAACTCTTTATTGAGTTGCTGAGCACAAATAATTCAAGCACGATCGTGGTGCAAAACATCAGGCAATGTTGAAGATTGAGATAAGAAACTACCTTCTCCACCGTAACAAGTCGACCTTCCAACACAGAGCGGTTAAGATGTTTAACACATCGGTCTGCATCTTCGTTTGTTTCCATTGTAACAAACCCAAACCCACGGGATTCTTTGGTTCGTGGATCAGTGACGAGACTGCACTCAATAACCTGTAATCATAAAGTTGATTCACTAATCACTACTGAAACTTTTTTTATGGATCACAGAAACTTTTCCTTGCTTCATACTTAACATCAATCTAGACCAAATGTTATATGAGCAAATTTTAAGACAACTTTTGGAATCTAAGTTCAAGGAGAAAGTTAACCCCTGTCTGGCTACCTAGAAGCCTACAAAATAACATGTAGGGCAAACACAGATATATTTTGTGTATGGGTAATGCCATGTGAGAGGTTCAAACAAAAACTTTTCCTTAGCTCATACTATATTCCATGATTTGTGTCATCTCAACGGAAAGTAAAAGCTAAGTAACCACTATGATGGTTCAGATTCTTAACCAAGACAGTCCAGCAGGATAGAAACAAACAGTGAGGTAGAATATACTTTCAATTGATTTCATTGCTGCAACCCATAGGTGGGATTATCTTATTTTCTTCTCCTTTAGACCAAAAAGGAAACTAACCTATTGTTCTTTGAATACTGAAGAGCCATACCTTCCCTTCACTGCTAAAGAACTTCTCAAGATCGCTATTTGTAACCCTTGTTGATAGGCCAGTCACATAGAGGTTATTTCCAGGGTTGACGGGTTCTTCAGTTTCACGGCTCCTGGAGTCAAAAAAGTTCATGTTTCACATTAAGTTATAGGGAAAGCAACTACTCACACAGTCCAACATTTCAAATCCCATGCATGCATATAGCCCAGTAATAAGGTCATAAGCATATAAGGGCACGTGACAATCTACCCCCTATTTATTCTAATTCTAACGGTCAATCTAGGATCATCATATTATGCACCAGATCTTCCATTTTGTAACACTCTAACTTCGACAAACCATGGTGATGCAATAACCTATCACCAGTGTCATTTTGGCCAGTTTCTTCCAATATTAGATCCATAAACTAATACTATGTATTAAATTGGAAAGTAAACTAATTTAGACATGTTTATTCTATAGTTCGTACTTCATAAATTGTATCTTAAATGGAAAATAATCAGTAACAAACAACATAAACAAGCAGTCAAGAGTATACAACACCAACAACCGGCTAAGATCCCACAAGTAGGGTCAAGGGAGTATGGGTGCACACAAATCTTATCCTACCAGAAAACTAGGGCCCAAATGTATAAACCAGCTGAAAGAAATACAGTAATCATTTCCAAAATCCAAAGTTAGCAGCAATACCTCGAACGGCTTCTTCTTGGAGGTGATAATGATCTTGATCTCGACCTAAAATCCCTGACAGGGGATGCCGACTTGGGCGGGGAAGCAGGCCTGTAATAAATGATAGCACGCACACGCACACACACAAGTGCTTAAGCTAGCAATGCCATTCTAGTACCGATTGAAGACAAAAAAAAGCACAAAATGAAAATGATTAGAAACTTGAAGCACACACCTGTGGACTCTGGTATATGTCATCGCCTCTAACGAAATGATTCTAAGAGCTCGCTACTGTCAAGAACACCGCAAATTGCAGAGGATTAAGATTTTGAGCAGCAGAAATGGAATATTTCGGATATCAATTTCAGATTAAAACATTATATGTAATGCGATTCGTGTGCTCGAGATCATCAAATCACAGAGCGAATGCTTGAAACACAGAAGAATATAGTAATAATAAATAATGAGTAAAAAATATGAGCGAAAAGGTAAATGAACCTGAATTTGATGATAATGGAGATGAGAGGAAAGAAGTTAACGTTCCGAGCAACTATCTCCAACGGAATGCCCTTTTCTTCCTTCTTTTTTCCTTTTTTAAGCAAGTCGGGTTTAGACGAGGAGTATGGATCTCCCACAGCCCGACTCCATTCGGGTTTGGGAAAGCAAGTGTCAAACGTGCAATCCACAAAATTTTTGTGGATGTTTCTCATGTTATTTTTCACTTGTTTGACTTGATATTTGTTTTTGATAGAATAAATTGTGAGTGGTGGTAGAAGAATAAAAATTTGATATGAACTACATGTTTGTTTCTTTGAAAAAAAAGAGAGAAAATTTTGAGATAATCCAAAAAGGAACGAAGAAAGATAATTACGAGATGAAGATAATAGTTTTATGAAATACGTGCATTAAATAATATTAAAACTTAAGTCATTTTCTTAAATAATATTTAAATTGTTTTATTTTCTAAATAGCGTTTAATAATGTCCAAAATGTTCAGTGATCACGAACATTTATTTGAATAATAACTAATGAATAATGACTAAAAGTGCTACATTGGAAGAAAAAAACACATGTGATGGTATTTAGGGAAAATCATTATGTTTTAGTGCTATTTACGTAAATTCTCCGTACTTACGAAGTATTCTTTTTGAAAAAATAAAATTTTAATCATGGTAGGACACAAATGTTTACAACCATCAACGGTAGTTCATAGATATACAGTGGACCTGATATCCACGATAGAATTTACTAAAATGTCATCCTACTCTCTCTATTTGAAGTTTTCGTTTAGATTTAGAAATAAAAATATGAAACTGCGTGCAGATAAAATTTGTAAGGATTAGGGGTTGGCAAAAATATCATTTCAGCATTGTTGCGAATCAAACTAATATGGTACTGAACTGAAAAGCGGGTTTTCAAATGGTTCTTATAAATTATATCCCAAACAGAATCGATTCGTTTTCAAGACATGTTTCCAAAAAATAAAAACTAAAAATACTAAACCGAACTGTTGCCACTTAATTGTTAAAGTAATAAATTAATTACCGAAGTATAACTTTGCATTTGTTATTTTTTTTAGTAAGGTCATATGTATTACTACTTGATTACTTCGGAGCACAACTCAAATTATGATTTCATTTGTTAAAAAACAATAATTATGTTATATCAAAAATTATAACTGAACAATACACTTCTTGAGTACGAATGCACAAAATATATGAGCACTATTTTTTTAATTACATTGATGGTTTCTTATGATTAAAAATGTTTTTTCAAAGCATCGAAGTATTGTGGTATAGTGTCGAACGACTTGATACTGAATGATTTAGACATAAAACCGAAATCATTCAAACTGTTTAAATTGTAACAGTACAGTATAGATTATTTATAAAAACAAAACTGTCACGAATCATGCCCACCAGGTAAGGATGAAAGAAAAATACTCTCTCATACAGAGTATAAAACACAACTTTTGTTCAAATGAATGATGATTTTATTTTGATACTAATGGATATATTAGACCGACTCAAATATTTATAGCGAATTAAACTTGGTATACAAGAATTAAATATTTGTATTTAGGATTGGTCCATTCAAGTCCACACAATTCATTACAGGTTGAAGCCTACGTGAAACCGGTCAGGATAATGTACTCATTTCAAAACTGAAAATGTACAAGTTATATAGGGGAATATGATCGCAAGTTCTATTATACAACCAGTTTGTACCCAAAATTGGGTACCACCTGCTCTTGAAACGACAAGCACAACGAGAAAGGATGAGCAGAAAGGATGGCGGCTTCGAAGGGAAGCGGTGACGCAACATTGTTCGAAGGGGACCATAGCCATGAATCCCCGGTGCAACGTTGGCAACGGACGATTTTCGCAGCGACTTTTGATGGATTATTGGCGCCGACAGCAAGGGGACAAAATGAGCACAACAGCGACTGAGAACAGGAACAACGGAGGAGATGGCGACAATCAAGGGGTGGTAACCCTTGATCTGCTGCAAAGGTGGTTGGGGAGGATGGTTAAATGAAATATGTCGTTCTAAAATGAGTACTTTCCGGATGTAGCTGGAACACCGTCCATTTAGTTGTGCCGTAGACACTCTTGAATATTGTAGTATTTAGTGGGGGGATGACGCATGCACATCCTATGATACATTAAACATAGTTTGATTGGGCGCTACGTGTTATGTACTCCCTCCGTTCTGAATTACTCCCTAGATTACCATTTTCGCATTACGAAGTAAAATCATGTATTTTTTGCAATCATTTTATTTAAGGTTGATATACGAATAAAAAACAAAACTTACATATTAAAAGTGGTAAGTCAATTAAAAAAACATGGAAAATCCTATCAGCAGATTCAACCATGTCAACAACACGATTTTCATTTTCCTTAAATCTCCCCACGCCCGGTTAAAATGAGCTCTAATTCCGGAACGGAGGAAGCAATACACACTCTAGTATATCATTTTGCACGAGGCCTATAAAATTAAACTCACAAAAATGTTTCATATAAACAAAATAAAATTGGACCAAAAAAGAGTAAAGAGGGAGTGTGAGTTTGGAGCTCACCAACCTAAGCATCACAAAGAGGAAAACGAAAAAAAAAAAGCCAAACGATAGACGGGAAGTGAAGAAGGTAGACATACGTTAAGAGCTCCTGAGTAGAGCTTCCATGGATTCGAAGAAGAGAAGAGACATTTCAGGGTTGGGACTCTTGATTGCACACTTGAGGCCGGGATTCCCAACGGTTGTGGTGAGTTCAATCAAGAATGGGATTCCTTGGGGGATCTTAGCAGAAAGATACAACACGTCTTGGCTGCCATTCTTCCGTCTGGCAATGAAGAATATGTTGGTTGCTGCTAATCGGTCTAGGGTCACTTCCACATTCTTTACAACCAGCTCTGGGAAGTCCTTTGATCGCTCATTTGAATCAGGCAATGACTTCCACTTCTGCAAAAAAGCCAAGCAAAACAGTTTATAAGCCTCCCCTGCGTAGAGTGATAATTTGTGTCAAAGAATGTAATCACAAACACAAAAACAATACTTACAGAATAAAAATCTCCCACTTTTAGACCCACAACTTTTTAGATAATTAGAATATTCCACTTCTAATGGCCTTTTTTTCACTTTAGGCGGACAACCAATAATTGTTACTACTCTTGGTTCTTTTCAGTCACTTATCTGACGAGAATGTTATTGATTATTTTTTTCATGTTCCGTTTTAGTTTTCTCCCTTGATTCTTGAAAGATGAACCAAATTATGAGGCACAATTATTGTAATATTGTATTCAATGAAACTCATCATCTGGTACAATGCGAGTAAAGTAAGCTAATGCAATGAGATTTGACAAACTTTTTTACCTCAAGAAAAGTAGAACGATCCATCTTGCCATCCTCAGAACACAACACATGCAACAAGATCTTATCACTGAAGTACCTCACTGGCTGTTGACTGTTTTTCACTGCAATCTGCAAAAGGGTGCTTGGAGGACCTGGAGACATGTTTTGGAATAGGACCATGGGCAACATAACACTTGCAGATGTCCCCGGTTGCAATTGAGTTACCTATCAAAACTGAAATGGTCATCATCTAAAGCTAACCTACTTAAAGACGTACAATGAGCTCAAAATAGAAAATAATACTCCCTCCATCCACAAATAAACTTCCCGTTGCGCGTTACGATGTTTGACTGAAGTTATTTTCAAATCAGTTTATATGAAAAATGGTGTAAAATTTAAAAATAAAAATTACATATTAAAAAACTATATCAAAATATCTACAGAACTAGAGGTGACATGACTATATGATTCTATTAAACGGGTGACGAAAATAGACCAACAAAGTGAATAAAGTTTGACTCTGTGAATAGTGAATGGGAAGTTTATTTGTGGATGGAGGGAGTAATAGAATTAGGGACCATTTGCTAATTTAATAATCAGTGATGCAGCATTAGTAATTTAGGTCCCTCGTTAACTTTTGTGAAAAGCATCCCTGATAGTGTACCCGACTACCATTGGTTTCCATTTTAGTCCTCTAATGCAGCAACTCTAGTCCTCCATTATTAACAAGAGACGGCGGACTAAAACCACCACCAATGGGTAGAATAACTTGCGATGATTATAGGTAAAGTTAATGGATTGAAATTGCTTAAGTTGCATGATTGATGAAGTAGCAAACAATTTAACCTAGAATAAGAATTGAAATAGAAAAGGATTTGAAAAAAAGTGATGGGGATCAAATTATGAGCAGATGAATATAACATACCTGGAGTGGTCCAGCAGCAGCAAGTCCAAATGTATTCTTATTGAACTGAATCATGAACCCATCAAGTGACATCTGGGAGTTGTTCTCAAACAACATGCTGTAAAAGACCTGACCATCTCTACGTATCATCTGAGCACTGATTTGTAAACCTTGACCAGTAGATGCTGGTAATAAAACAGGCAATGAGGGTCTGCAAAAAAAAGTAAGCACTCATGAACAGATTACCTTTCAAATTTTGCAATTATGGAAATATACAATGCCCCTAAAAATGTAAAAACATTATGAACTCATTTATAGAAGTGTTTCTGAAGATATATACTCACTCTATCTCAAAATGAAGTTTACACTTTCATTCTTAAGATATCCCAAAATAAAGTTTACAATTCCATATTTTCCTTACTTAGGGACAAGAACACATTACTCACAACATCTCTCTCTTCTAAGAAAAGTTTAAACATGCCTTTTTCAATTTCCAACATTTTTCTTCAATTCCGTGAAGTTAAATTGTAACTTCATTTTGGGACACACACACTATACCTTGTTGGAGTTGCAGGCTGATCCCCAGACACTATAGTACTGTCGTTACTTTCGATTCCCAGGTCAAGCAAATCAGGCAGGGATGAGGGAGCCACAGCCATGGGGCCCAGTTGCTTTGTAGCAGGGTGAACACTTCCATCAACTGAAGCGTCAGGTGACTCAGAATGCCCAGGTTCATTCCCATCGGGATATTCATCTTCCTCCGTTCTTTGAATGGTCTTCACGCGAGTAACAAATGTATCTGGAGGCTTATGATAGACA